AGAAGTAGGCACGGTTGCTTCCTCAGTTGATGTTACCTCTGGCTAGGATGGTGCAGGTCAGTGGCTTCCCTTCACAGGCATTTCCGACCAGGGCTGTCTCCCATGGCCACCTGGTGCCCTGCACGGTTCCTTGCCCTCACAATGGGAGCCCGTGTTATAAACACACTACAAAGCCTCACCACCTTCATGTATCACAACTTCAGTGCCCCAAACATAACATCAAAGACAAGAAAGTCAACACCAGTAATGCTCTGAGTCCAGAGATGGTCTCCACGACAAGCCACCAAGTGCTGAGATCTGCCCACAGCACGAGGTGAGAGCCACTGTTGGGCGGGGGGCACACATGGCCTGCGCCTCCTGCTCAGCAGCTCTCCAGGCAGGTGGCCATTGTAAGAAATGACTTAGAAGCCAGAGTAGGAGAGTTCATTCCTAAGTCACCCCCTCCATATGGGCGAATACTGGTTATGACTTAGACACAAGAGAACCAGAGGCAAGATTCCCAAGTAGGTAGTTCCCTGCTCTGCGTGTCTGGTGAGCCCACATGCACTAGTGTGCACTTTGACTTTGGGCTGCAGCCCCCCTTATCCATCCTTCTGGGTGTCCTTGACCCTTGTCAGGGTGGATTTCCCAACTTCTCTTCCAGTGTCTCTTTCGCCTTCCATTTTCTGCTCTGTCTCTTTCTGCCCTGCCCCAACCCCAGCTCCTGTACTGGAGTACCTCCTGTCCCTCCTCTCAGCAGCACAGAGCTGTGTCTTGGCCCTGGAGGCAGGGGCATGTCCACTTTGGAGAACCCCTCTTCAGAGTCCATGGACTTGTACCAACAAGGCCGATCTCCCGCAGACCCAAACTGGAGCCATCGCGATTGTCTCGGCTGGGAATTTGGGATGTGAGCCGGGAGCTAAGCCAGCCTGCGCCCCTGGCATTCCAGCCCTGCGGCCTTCCTTCCTGAAGACTGGCCGCTCACGTTCTCCTCACATGCCACGAGGTGACTCCAAATCCTTAAATGCAATCTCAATCCCTCTCTCTCTCTCCTTTGCTGAATATACTCCTTTGTATATAAAAGATACACTTTATATATAAAGAATATACTCCTTTGCTAAAGCTAGTTTGAAGAGGCTTTTATTCTCAACCCAGAGCAACTGGAGCCATCCCCTTAGGAGATATGCTTTGTGCCCAATATTGTCATCATTACTTCATGAAGGGTTCTGAGGCCCCTTCACACACTCACTTCCCAGAGACCCTTCCAGACCTCCCTGTGTGCTGCCCCTTGCTCCCACTCTCCCCTGGGTCCTCCCACACCGGCTGCCTCTGTCTGCTACCTCGGCAGTTTTCTCCTCTGCAGAGCAGAACAGGTGTTCTGACTGCTGTCTCCATGGTTTTGTTTTGAGATAGGCACAATTCCTTTTGAGGAATTTTTTAAATTTTTCAGTTCAGTTAGTGCTAATTTATATTGGCAAAATCAAGTCAGAGAGAGGATTTTTTAAGACATGGAAGAAAAATAACAGTAAGAGGGTGATCAGAGATAAAGCACTCTAGGTCCTTATGCCATTTGAGGAGAAAGTAGTAATGGACAATGCTTTGTTAGGTGTGCAAGGGAACATTTTTATGGGGCCCCTAAGCAAATGGAATCCTAGTACCTTGTGATCCAGAAAACCAGGGACTTTGTATGACCACCTATACAAGTATCTCTGGCCTCGTGTAGCTGTAAGGTGGACAGAGCAGAATGTGAGTTGCTGAATTTCAACATAGGTTAGATTTTCAGGATTGCAAATGCTGTGAATTTAGGACACTTTTAATACAACAGTAGGAAACAGAGTTGTAGTGAAGTCTGGGAGGACCAGGTTACCTGATCCCACCATCCCAAACCCTGCCTCCCCTCTCTGATGAGGTTGGTTCTGACTTGCTTGGAGATTCTTCTTGCTTGAAGGCATGGCCTCAGCTGAGGTAGCTAATTTGCAAGAGGATGCCAGTTCTCCTTGTGTCCCAAACCTAGCACTCCTCATTGACTGTGTCCTTAACTGTACTCACTCTCAGAGGACAGGTGACAAAGTCAAATACAGGTAGAGCACTTGTAAATAGCAAATGAATCTCAATATTTTGCTAATTTATATTGGCAAAATTTTGGAAAACAGATGTGGGAATAAAATAAAAAATAAAAATAATAAAAATGTGAGAAATGTAATTTTAGAGTGAGCCAAACGTGTTAATATGTTATATTTAGAGATTCGGGATTTAATGCACCAGAGGAACAACTGGGACTTGTCTTTCAATAGACTCAAACCTGAATTCAATCATGACTTATGCTGAAAGAAACAGATACAGATTTGACTTGGTCTAATGCAGAAGTAATGCAAAGACACAGGTTGATAAGAATGTAGTATGTAATCTGCTCACCAACCTTGTAATTATGTTCCTTGGGAAGTCTAGAGGACATGACCTTGACAATGAAATAATTGTATTAGTGAAAAGGGAGACAACATCCTTGGGAAATGCTTCATCGGCTGGCCTTGGTAGACCAGGGATACAGGTGATTGATGCTCCATTGGAATGATGATGGGCCACACACTAAGCTCTTCTTGATCTGTATTACCAACACAGCCCTCAGTAGAGAAAATAAAAACTTGGGTTCACTGGAGACACAGCCCCTCTCCTAATTCCCAGATCTGACTCAAAAAACTCAGAGTTCACAAAACTCTGACCCTTTTGAGTGAAAGGAAGATTTGTGGAGGGGCAATTTGGTCAAATTATTTGCATTTTCCGAATTACTCTGTCTGAATGCTATACTGTTATGCAGAAAAGAATCATTCTGGGGTAGAAGAGACAGTTAAATCAAATCACAACTGATGCAGTACAGGATCTTGAATGTTGATGTTGGGGACCGAGGCCCACATATTCCCCTGCAGAGGTCACAGTGTAGTTATTGTTCCTTGTTCAGGTGCTCTGTGTGGGAAACTTCACATTTGGGGGAAAAAGGGGGCTCAAGCAAATCTGATTTTTTCCCCCACAGGACTTTTACTCAGGAAATCCATTTTCCTCTCTCTTTTTACATGCCCCTGTCTTTTGTTTTGGTAGTTCCTGCCCTTTGTCATCGCATGACCATCACCCTGATTATGGCCTTGTGATCACCTGGCCACACTGGACATCTCTCCCCCATGCTTAGTCACCTAGTGTTCTTCTGTATCTCTCTCCTCTTTTACTGTCTTGTTACAATGATCCACAGTTTTGATCACGTCATTAATATCTGTAAAATATTAAGCATGAATCCCAATATTGTTTACCATAAAATGCATGTGGAGGGTGGGGATGTGGCTTACTGGGAGAATGTCTGCCTAGTGTGCATGAGGCCCTGGGTTTGATCCCAGGCACCACCGAGAAAAAAAAGGCATGCCAATATATGATATATTGTGTGCATCATCAAGCAAGGAGAGCAACTGACTTAAAAGGGTGAGATAAATGCAAGCATTGACATTTTCTTCCTCCACCCTGGCTCAGTTTGTCCATACCGTGGGGTACATGTATCTCACTATGAAGAAGTAAGTTGGGCCCTCGTGACCTCTCATCTACACAGTGGCCCCTAATCACCCAATGGAAAAAATTCTAAGTTCTTTAGCTCGGCACTTGTTCCTTCGTGATTGGGCTCCTGCTGACCTTTCTAGACTCTTGCCCCACCACCTTCCTGGGGTGTTTATCTCAGCAGAACCCCACACTTGGTGCTCCTTACTCACCCAGTGCTGGTCCACCTGTCCAGCCACTGCTCCTCATCCTTTGTGTAGACTCTATCTTCCTAATGTGGGATCTGCTCCCTTGTGAGCCATTCCCAACCTCTACCTGTCCCCTCTGCAACATTCCATGTGCAAACATCTTTTTACCCAGGTGTTATGTGGCATTGTTGCATTTACTTGGTGTTTCTTATACTTGGGAGCACCCTCCTTGAGATTACAGGCAATGTGCCCAATTTCTCTGCATCCCTGGCACTTGGCACAGATGACCTGAACCAAGGTGCCTGGAGTTTGGGAGTATCTTATTTTATCCATATCATCCACTGTAACACTGTTACATACTATTCTTCTAGCTGAGAAATGCAAGCATTCATTGAATGAATAAGCAGATGGGTGGTGGGGTGGGTGGATGAACAGATGCACAGGTGACTGGGAGAATGAGGAGAATAAGGGAGTTGCTGTAGAAGAAGATGTCATGTGGAGAGAGGAGTATTGCTGAGAGCCATAGCCAGTAGGAATGATGCATGGCATTTTTGGTTGAAAGGTGACACCAGCAAGCCATTGAGATGATAATGGTGATGTTAGGATGTGTATTCAATTGGAGATTAGACCCCTGCTGTCCACCTCGGCCTGCTACTTTGGAGCGCTCTCAGGACTCCCAGAGAGTTCCCATTGGTTGGGGAAGTGCGGTAGGAGGGATTTCCGGAGGAGGGATTGCCTGTTGGTGTGGTGTGTCCCTGGGAGTTTTGGAAATAGTTTGTTCCTGCTTGGTGGCTTGTGATTTTGTGCCCAGTCAGACTTCGGCAGAGTATGCTTTTCCCATGACTTCAACACTTTTCGTCTCCAACAAATTTTTGGATTGGAGGTCATGAAGCTAACAGGTTTAATTGTTAGATTTGAAATTTGAATGAAGATAACCCTAATAGAGAAAGACTTTATCATATCTTAGTTCTGGGTAAGGCACTTTGGTACTTCTCCATCGAGGCCCACTGGGACGGAACTGTATGATAAAATGCATTAGACTAACCATACATAACTGATTAAGCCAATCAGGGGCCTGTTACCCTACACAGAAGCAGTTGAGGGTGGGAAATATCATAATTTATGCATATATTCATTATCTAAGATAATGTTGGACAGATGGAAAACACACAATTTTAAGGGGTAGGGAGTCCAGCCTTATATCACTGAAATCATGTCTTGGAATTCTACTGCCAACTCTGTCAAAAGACAGGATGTGAGTGCTATTTTGTAATAAAACAAACACTTGGCAAATAGCAGATGCTCAATTTTGTACATTTATTTGGATGAACAGTGATAACTAGAATAATTAAAGTTGATTTGTATCAACAAGTTGGTCACAGGAGGAAGGATTAAATCCAGCTCTGGGGTTTAGGAAAAACATTTTGAAGATGTATCAGTGCAGGGTAGATTATTCCAGGCAGGTAGAAGGCACGGGGTGTAGAGAAATCTGTATTTTAAAAAGGTTGCCAGGTTTCAGGAAGTGCTGAGTGCAGGGGGAAGCCCTAAAAGGGAGTTGTTGTAATTGAGGCCAGAAAGACATATTTGGGAGGAACGATAAAAATCAAACGATTCATTTTAAGTCTAAATAATTAGCTGTGTTTTGCCCAAAGATTGTGTTGCAAAGCACCTAACTCGAGGTGTTGGGTGTTGTTTTCACTATACCTGGGGCCCAGGTAGCACCTGGGTCATGAAAGTCTTGAAATATCTCAAGGATGACATTTGTTTAAAAAAATGTTTTTATCACTGCCTTATAGTTCTATACAACCATGGGGTTCATTCTGACATAAGCATACATGCATGGGATATAATTTGCTCCATTTCAGTCGCCAGGGCTTCCTCCTTCCTTCTCCCTCAAGGGGGACATTTTTTCAACAGTAGCCACATGGTCACTTGAAGCTGGCCCTCCTAAACTCTACGGGATTAGTTCTGGTCTCAATGTTGCGCATTCTTCCCCACCACCGCTCACCCACTCTGGAAGCAACACCGCTTTCCCGGAGCCTAGGTGGCAATCCGATAGGGTCTCTGGATGACGTCAGCTCTCGGGAGGGCGGTGCGCACTGGCCTGGCTCCGCTCCCTGCGCGGAAGCCCCGCCCCGGAGCTCGCTCCTTTCCCTTCTTCCTGTGCGTCGTAGCGTAGGACGTGGGTCACGCGGTGTTTGCCCACTGGCCCGGAAGCAGAAGGCGAAGGGGCGGAGCGGAAGGCGGGAAGGCGGCTGCGTCCGGGTCGCGGCGAGGGGCGGGGCGGCGGGCATGGTAACGGCTTGGGAGCCGAGCGCGAAGGGCCGCAGGCAGCGCCACCGCGGGTGATCGCCGCCGCTGCCGCCTTTCCGCGCGTCCGGTGCGGCCTGCGGACTCGCCTCACCATGATGATCCACGGCTTCCAGAGCAGCCACCAGGACTTCTCCTTTGGACCCTGGAAGCTGACGGCCTCCAAGACCCACATCATGAAGTCAGCGGACGTGGAG